ACGGGGAACCTTACAAAATCGTTCACAGGAGTATTTTTCTCCAATATGGTCGCCTTGATGTTCGTGAAGTTTAAACAAAACCTTAAGAGCGTTATCGACATATTTTGGAATGAAGTTTTTATTATTAGAAATACGGTAAGAAAAGGAAAATCTTGATGTTTGGCCGTTATCTGTACAAAACGAAGCGCTTTTGACATGCATTTTCACCTCATAGTACTTTTAATCTTTTTAAAAACATGTGTGAAAGATCGTGGAGATAGCTCTGCTTGATTGCTAGAATCGAAAGAAGGATTTGATTAGTCATCGAGGCACTCTTGTTAGCAGTTTTGTAAACATTTCGGTCTACTTTAACAAATTAGCGAATAATTTCATTGAACCGCTCGATAGATTTTTTAAAAGAATTAAGATTCTTCTCGCTATACTAGTTCAAACTGAGAATTCAGTAGTCAGCCACTTCTTCATTTTCATACCCATTGCTGATGCTATCTGCCATACACTGTTCTTCGAGTGGATGTGATTCTAGAAAGTTATGCGAAAGTTTATTTTAAGCAATTCACGACTGGAAATAGCCCATTCCAGCTAGTGCAGTGCAGTATAGTGTCCAACAATAAAAAAACTGCAAATATATAAATGTAAATTACTCATCACATGCTAGGCAACCACTGTAATGTAACTGGATTATTACGCCGACTTTAGGTTAATATTCAGGCCTTCAAAATAATTAAATGAAATAAACATGGAGACGTCTTTAAAAACTGACTTTGCCCAAATTTTCTCGCGCTGCCCAAAAAATCTGAGTTGCCCAAAATTTGGGGGGGCTGCAGCCCCCCTCGCCCCCCCGGCCCGTACGCCTATGGACGGAGAGACTATCTGCTCTGAACAATCAATCTGCTTGCTATTCAAGTTTCACGTCGAGAACGACTATGAAGGCTTTGTATCCAGGCAGCATCTCAGGTAAAGAAATCATCATAAAGATTGGGCCTCTAGACCACCTGCAACAGAACGATGAAGTAATGGCAGACATGGGGTTTTAAATCCAGGATGAGCCGCTAGCATCTGTAGGCGCTACATTGACAATTCCAGCCTTCTTGAGTGGTCGTAAACAGTTCTCAAAAGAGGATACTGCGACGAATAAGAAAGTCGCCTGTTTAAGAGTCCAAGTGGAAAGGTGTGTGGAAAGAATAAAAAACTGGCACATTTTGGATTGCAGAATTCCAGTCTCACTGGGTCCTTTTGCTTCAGATATATTTATTGTCATAGCAGCTTTAACAAATTTTCAGCCACCTTAAGTTTCATAGTTTTTTAACTGGCTAACTGTATAGTGATATTTTGTAGTACGAAAAACAAACAAAAAAAAGAATTTAGATATACCTTGATCTTGCCGAATTACCAAACTGGTCATCGATCACAGAATTTTTAAGTTTCTCGATAATCACTACGTGTTTCTATTTGTGTATTAAGAACTGAGGTATTCGGTGGCCCACAAAGGATGCACTGGGTTCATGTTCATTCTGTTCTCATTCATTTCAAGTTCTGTCCCAAATGTGGTGTAAAAGTAAGATCATTTTCCAGTGGCCGTTGTGAAACAACTACGACACCGTTTTCTCTTCTAAACTTTCAGACATTCAAGTCTCAAAAAGAGTCAAGGAGAAAGACATTATTTGCTTGTAAAAAGCCTGCCGGTCGCAAGAAGAGAAAATTCGACGATGAAATGGTAAGAATCAACGTGGAAGTGATGGAGGAGAGGGATGTGAACAAACGAGGAGAAACCTTGCCCTTGAAGGTTCCATCACCAGCATCTGCCGAAGATTTTCGCCTCGCTGCAGTAAAGAAACATACTCTATTAACAGCAGGTTTATTCATTCACAATCTGAGTACAAACTGGCCTTCAAGGATGGCAGTGAAGCTAAAAATATCCCTGGCATAGGCCCTAACAGACTCTTGACTTTGAGGAGGTATAAGGGAGAGTCTGGATTTGGATATGGACCAATAACTCTTTTTCTCCGACCTGAAGGGGGTATATTTAAAGAACTTCGACAATATGTTGATGAAGATGACGATTTGTTGTGTGATGGTGCCAAGAGTGCCTCTAAAGATTCCAGTGATGATGAAGATTTCACTAAGTCTGATTAAAACCATCATTGCATCCTTTACTACTAAGAAGGCAGGCTGATTTTAGTTCTGGAAGAGGAAAAAGCACTGCAGCAGTCTCGTTAGCATCGTCAGCTGGGATGATTGCTTTCTCGTCAACTGCCCTACTTGCTGGGACACATTTCCCATCAGTGCCATTGAGGAACATGCAGATATATAGACGTGCTCAGTCTGTAGAAGAACTTCCAGATCCACACCCAGTTAATTCTTCATGTTCCAGTTCAACAAGTTTGTGGTGCCTGTATCATAAGTTATATCGGCACAATGTAGATACACGATTTAGACTCCAGCAGCATTGTAGTTTTCTCGATCTATTAAGTTTTAATTTATGTAGGAGTTCAAATTTTCAATGTAATTATCCAATTTATGTAGATCACAGTTTATATGCAAGTATGCTTATGGATTACCCGCAAACTAAGAGATATATTGTTCTATGATCATAAGAAATGTGGTTGTTGTTATAGGAGTCTTCACTAAATGTTTAAAAATTGCCTACGAAGTGAATTTGGCAGTGAGTAAGGCTGTAGGTTGTACTTCCAGTAGTTATAATAATATGCTTTCTCCCTCAATTCCAAAGTACCTTTTTCCCTAATTTTTCCGATTTTTTCTGTCAACCAATTTTTTTTCCTAGCACAAAAATTTTCAGATTATTTCCGTCACGCAATTTTCGTCATAAATCCCAATTTGAATTAAGGTGGCTGAACACAGTTTTGCGGGCGGTCAGCGGTAACTCGCGTGACGGCGCGTGTTTTAAATTAGACAAAAAAACATGGCGGCCAAAATTTTTTTTGCGTCTTCTCGTCTGTTTAAACGTCTTCACCGAAACACAAAATGGATAAGCGAAAACAATACCAACCGACTGACTGCGTTTATGTTTGAAAGAGGTGGAATGAAATCAGCTTTTCCTTGTGTTTACCATGTGAACAGTGCTGTATCAAGCCGCAACGATAGCGTGATCCGCGTGAGCGATTGTTACCAGGAAGAGAACTGTAAAAATACTTTTACTTTCCTGCCGTTTACTATCCTTCTCTTATCAGTGTTGAATTCAACAGCCGCTTACTGTGGCGAAACTGAAGAAAAGAGTAAGAAAACTCCTACATCCCAGCAG